AGGTGACTGATTGCAGGGACGGGTCCAGGATTTCGTCAAGAAAGGGTTTATGTTGTCACGTTTTAGTTACGTCACACTTTATGTTGGTGTCCCCTGGAACTCTGAGACCCCCTCCCTCCCAGAACGTCCCCAGATTTTGGCCGTTTAATGATGTAAGGGCCGTGGATTGAACGTCAGCGTAGATGGAAGCAGCGTAAAACATTTGCATTATGCCCAACCCTTGCTCACTAAGCTGACTTCATCGTACCTGCAGAATCCCTGAACGGAAGAAGCAGTGTATAAAAAAGTTTCAATCATGTGCGCCCCCCGTCTAGGAGAAGGGCCGCCGACGCCCGACATTGCGGTTCCATTGGTCGCGCCGTCGACCTCGCAGCAGCACCGACAGCAATCACGGACGGGAGAAAAAACGACGCACTGGAGGGTAATACTTTACAATGCTTTATGAAATCCATTTGCATGCGTGCAGAAAGTGAGCTGGGTCATTTCAGGGATAACAGAAGACCGATTCAAGAATTGCGTCAAGGGACGCGTCACAAACATTGCGGCGCCCCTGGAATTTGATGACCCGAAAATGAAAATTTCGGGCCCCTTTTGGTGCCCCGGAACTACGGTGCCCCATGAGCATAATGATGATGCGGTTACAAAATGATGGTTTTAGTGTATTTTCATCATTAAATCTTGGTGATTCGTTGAACACCCAGAACCATGGGGCTAAGCGGCATGGTCTCACGCCCGCTCTCCTCTAGATCCATCCCTAATTTGTGGTGCTCATGAAATTGCTTGCCTCTGGGAAATGAGCCCTATGTTGCCCGGAAATGAAGGTTTTGGTGCCTGTCATGGAATGATGGAATTGAGAATTTTGACAAGGTGAAAAGCACAGAAATTGTGGTCTCACTAGATATGGGACCCTTTTGAAATGCTGGTTTCGGGGCCTTTAAGTGGTCCGCTGTGATACAGCGCATCTTGAAGAAAGGATATGAAGCCCCGAAAGCAAGCCCTTGGTACCCTTTGCTAGTGCATGGGCCCAATCCAAGATTTTGTCAGGGTGAAAGACACAACATTGCTGTGCATTTCAACATTGTTGTTATGGCTCTGAAATTCAATGCATCTTTAGAATGAGGGTTTGGGTTTCATAGTGGTGCCCTTGTTCTTCGATACCTTTCGAAAATAAAGATTTGTGGCCAGTTGTTGTGCTCCTGATATTCAGTACTTCTTAAAAAATAGGTTATGTGGATCCCCAGTGAAGATTTTGGTGCCCTTTTCCAACAAGATTTGGGTGTCCCTTCGTCTCAACGACGGGGTTGATTTCAGCCCCCGCCCCCTGCCCCCCCCCCCCTCCTCTATCTTGATTCGCCACTGGCTGAGCTGACGAGTCCACCGGACCCGTACGTGTCGGCGCCCCGGCACGAGCCGGCGGTGCATGACTCATTCCCGGACATGAGCACATGAGCACATGTGCAGAGGCCCTCCTGGAATGCCGGCGGTCACGCGCGTCCGGTTTGCGTGCGTCTCTGCGCCTCGGAGAAGATTGCTCCAGTTGACAACGGCACGGCCAACATGCGGGTCCACTGCTGTGTAGCAGCTCTGCTTCTACTCACATCGGAAGCGTTGTGCAGGAAATCGAAATGGGGTACGTATCGACGCAAATGGGGTACGCATCGACGCAGATGGGGTACGCATCGACCCAAATGCATGTACGCATGCTGGTCAGTCGGTGATGTAAGCAGCCGGTCTGTCGGATGCAGGTCAGTCGACCAGCACGCAAGCGCGTGGATCTTTCGCTCCTTCTTTCGCAGCCATGCGATGGGAGGGCTCACCAGACGGCCGGCAGTATTGAATTACGATGATATTATACAGTGTTTCATCAAATCTGCGCTAACAAGATATTCTTCAACAAGAACCATTACAAAAAACTAATTCATTTTAGGCTGGTTCCTATGATATGCATATAGTCATTCTATTTTTCTACCATTGCAGTTTTTTATATCTATCATTTTAGTCAGAAGACATTTTATACTGTTGTTTGTATAGCGTCCTTTTAGCAAGATGATGTGTTGCAAGATTAGTCTCTATCACGCCAAGATTCACATGCTTACCTTCCGTGACAAACAGTATTAATCGGTGGTCTTTATGTTTACTATCCACTGCATGTATAGCTGTCTTTGACTGCCATTGTCATATAGCTGACTGTCATTGCTGTGTTAGTAGCGCTAGAGTCCCGCATACTCAGAGCCCTCATAATAAATCAGCTCTCAGTCGCGTATTTTGAAACCTATCTCAACCTCCGTGTAACGGATCTCTGCGGGAATATTACTTGATTGGGTGGGAGCTCCCCCGTATCGGTACCCTTAAGATTGTTCCTCGCGTTTCACGCCAAACTAGCAAAGTCAAGAAACACCATCATTTATCATTCAGTAGTACGTGAGCTTTCTGAAGTCGATGAGTTGGTAGAGGGGCCAAGCTCAATTTCGGGTCGGTCGTCGCAAAGTGGAATGGCAGGGCTCATTGGTAAATCTTCAAATATCAAACGCTCTCTGAATTCGCCCCTCTTTCTTTCAGCTTTCCAACACACTACCGGCCCAGTTGGGTTAACACGCGCTCGGGTTGTCAGTTTGACCCCGAAGATATTTCCGAAATGATTTTCGAGCGACGAGGTGAAGTCGCTACTAGTTTTGCATACCTGTTAAAAATGGAATAGTCGATATTTTGCTATAAAAATTCAGATGTTTCTTGTAATGTCGCTGATCTCTGTCAGGCCAAAATCAGACCATGGATTCAGCGAGGGCACTGTCAAGGGCATCGTCCAATCCAATGAGTGTTAGACGAACCCTTTTATCTCTGAGCTAGTTTCTTAAGCAATGTAATAGTTCAGTTAACAATTCAAATTACCTAGTGTCAGGAATAATGCCAAGACCAAAAACAAAACCAACCCGTTTTTTTTACTGTAGAGCTTGCTTCATGAGGTAGTTTCTGGTGCTCATTTTGAGCTTTTGAAGAACGGGGCCCCAATTTCGCATCTATAACTAACTTCCTTAAGGTCAGAATAGGTCACTGACCTAAAATGATACAGGTAAATATTTTCGCATCGCATAACACTTGACGATTATTCAAATGTCTTTTTGTCTATTCTTCAAACCAGTCTTTGCGATTTTGGTCACCATGACCTTCTGAAGGTCACACAAGGTCACTGATCCCTTATGAGCACCAAAGGGCTTCTGCTTAGAACAGGTAACTAGGTTCACAACAGTTGTATGATAAGGACTGGGGGACACCAATCTGGAGCTTGGCCTTGTTTGACATAATTTGACGCGAAGGTCACGACCCAGGAATCTCAAACCTTGAGACAAGCGGATTCACATACAGGGTATTTTGTGTCATCAGCGATCTTGATTTTTGAGATATCAGGTTTTCAAAGTGACCACTCCCCACCCTGGCGGAGGGTATTCAACCGGCCTCCTGCGCGCGCTTAAAGCGCGCTAGCTCTAGACCTGTATTGACAAGCCATGTTTGAGTAACATACGCAAGAAGCTGTGGCAGAGTCTTATAACAAATGTTCCGAATTTTGGCAGCGAATTGGTTGATACCGCATTCTCTTTTTTGTCTTGGGCGCAATAATTGTGTTAAGTTCTGGGCTTAGCATGCGTCTTGAAGAAGACATGTACACGGCAAAGCTCATGCATGTACACTGCTACACGACAGGGGCTCAGTCCATGTATGCTGCTGTAGTTCAGGTGAGGAATGATAGCATTTCCCTCGCTTTGGAAAATGAATAAAATGTTTGAATGCAACAGGAAAACAAGTTGACGTTTTAAAAGAAAAGCATAATTTATCTACTTGTTCTTGTAAAATAAGATAATTATGTATTTTGGCAGGTATGCTGCCTGCAGTGCCATGGCATTAATAATTCAATAGCATAGACGTATGGTTAAGCAGCTATCAAACGCGACCAATGAATGCTCAGTGCAGTGGAAAACACGTGTGACGTTGGAGGACACCGCGGCTGACAGCGTTACGCCATGTGCTCCATACCCAGGTATTACTAGAGGCGTGCTGAAGTTCGTGAAAAATGGACGACGCCACTCCACCGTTGGCCTCCAAGACCGGCCGGGGTCGGACGCCAAGCCTCACCGACCGGCCGTCTCCGGCGGCAGTCAGGATCACTGGCCGTCCAGCCGGCGCCAGTTCTTCAACACGGCTGTGAACGCCTTCATCGAGAGCGCCGTAGTCAGTGCCGTCAGTGCTGCTGGGCGGCTAGGGTCACGAGCGGATCCAGGCAGCGGGCGGCAGGGGTCACCTGCGGGACGAAGTCCGGCCGTCGGACCGACGCAGTCCGTGAGGGGGCGGGCATCCCCGTCCGCCGCCACTCAGAAGCCGGGAGAAGGCCCGGCGAACGGGCTGACCGCAGGGAAAGCACGAAGCGCGCCTGTAGCGCCCCTGGCGGCACATGTGCTAACTATTGCTGCGCTGAAGTGGGTTTGTGGAGCCTGGACCGTGTCGTAGATGCCTAATGCCATGTACGGATGTACGCTGTCATTGATACATCCCTAGAGGAGAGATCTGTGAAGCAGATGCGTAATGCTATAGGATGTCTTATGTCCCACTGCTCTAGTACGAATGTCATGCTTTATATTTCAATAAATGTTGGGATCAAATGCCAACTCGGTATTCAAACAGTTTAACCCTCTCTCCGTTTCACCGTTGCCATTTCAGCTGCAGCCATGATACTACGTACTCAATGCAGGCTAGTTTCATAAATTGATTCATCCGACAAAATGGTCGAAGAACATTAAACCGAGCGATACCGTACACTCTTGACTGTAGCCGGCGCTGTAACGCGAATTGAAATGTAACATATAAGCCGCAAATCTCGCTATACTTCGACACACAGGCTCTCTTCGATTAGGGTTTCTTCTCCAAACTATGAACTGCAAAATTCACTTAAAGAGGAAGCGTCTGCGGAATTATAGTGCATTTTGCGCCTTATTTCCTGCATTTTATTCGAGTTTGCGACTGAACTCAAGACTACATGGCTGTCAAAGATGCCTCAGAGAAGGTCTGCCATTTATAATTGAACAGGAGTTGAGCATCATGTCAGATGATTACCTTTTCTGCGAGGCCTAATGAGTGAGCATCGTGATGCATAGCGGAAAAATTGCGAGCACGCCTGGTCGTGAGAGGATGAGGTCCGCCAGATGTCAGCCGCGTCAATACATGTGAAGAATAATTCACCAAAACCAAAGTTGTTATATTATTGAGAAATTTAACAGTTCTGCATGCGAAGTCTTTGTCTTACAATAAAAGTAACCCTTCCGTCTTGCGCTATTGGAATGTATCCAAAATGTTGAAGAAATGAGTTGTCATCAAGTACTGTTGACCGCTGGACTACTGTCCCGTGGTCGCTTTACAGAAGCGGCTTCAATAAAGCTCCTCACCATGGTTAGTGACAAATGCACAAATGGTCGGGGAGATCTTGCTGACATGTCCAGAGCTGGTGGTGCAAAAAAGAAACATCCATCAGATACCTGACATGGTTCAGAGGTATTTGGCAGACGTTCAGGCATTCTGATGCAGGCCAATCATCGCCCACGTTGGCCGATGATGGTAGTTGGCACGGCTGTAACAGATTGCACGGCTAGCCTCCTTTCAGACAGCGCAAACGTCAAACAGTTTTTTTATGAGCATCCGGTACACAAAAAAAAAAACATTACACTATGTCCGGGCACCAATCACTTGATCGCACATCACACCGGGAGAAGCGGCGTCCGAATAACGAGAAGGAGACGTAAACATGACGAAATACGGTGAAAGGAAGATGCGGTGCGTCCAGGCATTTCGGGGGAGGGGGGAGGCGAGCGCGCAGTAATACGGTATGGGCTTCGTGAAGCAAGTCTGTCTTACTCCAGTGACGGAGCAACAATCTGAGAGATGAGGCTGCCAAAGCTCGGCCAAGCGGAGAAATATGAAACGCGACGAAGGCGCGATGGCACTGTTCAACTATGCAATCCCGCGGAAACGGCCAACAGCGAAACAGACTGACGCCATGCTGCTTCACAATTTGTGCCCGGATGTTGACTTGATGGTCGACCAGAGCAAACAAGCATCTAGCACTCACACTCAGGTCGCAATGACGATTATGTTCGAGAAATATTTATGCGGACTGAGTCACTGATCCTTCGTTCACTTCATCTCCCCACGCAGCCGCCGTCTGAAAAGGGTCGACTTTGGTGCCGAGGGACTTAAGCTGGCGTCGCTGCCAAAAGCCCTTGATACTCAGCTCAGTCGCAGGGCGCGGCGCTGGTTAATCCAGACGTCGCCGGCCTCCCTCAACAACGATGTTCTGAACGCTAGAGGAGACCCGGGCATCGTTCAGCCCTTGCAGACCTCCAGGCCGCACGAGCTGCAGCCTCCTCACGAGCTGCTCCGTCATAAGTGGGCGGTCCCTCTCAGTCCGTGGCCAAAGCCGTTCCTGCAGCCCCGCCGCTAGTGGTCCTTTATCGCCACCTGTTACTGGCGGCGCACGCCAACCCGGCCCTACCTGGCGACCCTACCAGCGTGCGTCCCCCGTCGGCGGCCCAGTGCGGCCGACCGGCGGTCGAAGCCGGGCATCGGCCACCGACGCAGACATCGATGGCCTGGCTGGTCTGGCGCCCACACAGACGGCACGGCCGACTCGGCGCTCTGCGACTCCCGCCACGGCCGGCCGACACGCGGCGACAAAGCGCGCACTGTCGCGCTGTCCCCACACGGCCGCACATCCGACATCGAGGCGAGCGGAAGTTGCGGTCTGCCGCCTCCTGTCGGGGCCCGCACCGGCCCCACTCGGCGCGCGGACACGGCCGCGTCGGACATGTCTCAGCGGACGCGGCCCGGACCGGACACGGCTTAGGTCGGACACGGCAGGTCGTCGGAGCAGGCGGACACGCAGCGGCCCTGCTTGGCCGCCAGGCCCGGTTGGCACAGCACGCAGTCGTCCTCGGCCGGACCGACGCACTCTTCACAGCCCGGCGAGCACGGCTCACATCTGCAGCAGGTCAACCGAAGCGTCAGCGCGGCCGTCAGCGGTGCTCGCCGCGTATGCGGTCAAAGCTGCACCGGAACGGGACGAGTCCGGTGCGTGACTTTGCACGGTAACGGCTGCAGACACGGACTACAGGGGACCAGAGACTGCATATAGAGACAATAGCGGGCAAGGCTCTTTAGTACGGCTAACAAGTATATTTAGAGGGCGTGGATCTGTTCCCTGCTAATGCGGGTAAGAAGCTAAAATCATCGTATTGATAAGTCGTTTGGGAGTTATCTGAGTCGGGTGGAAAGCACAGCAATGTACCTCATGCTATTATATAGGATACGCATTAGAGCGGCAGAAGCAAGAAGGCACTGTCCACTTGAGGAAGACACTGAAGGTGACTCCACGCGCGCAGCTGAGAACGCCGGCAGCGGTGCACCTGACCTTTGGTTAGCTTCATAAGTGCCCTCGGGGCAGGACAGCCAGCACTGGCGGTCGTGCAGGATGAGGTGGGGCTCGCAGCTGAGACATCGGCTGCTGGTGCCCTCGCAGGAGGCGCAGTCAGGCCGGCAAGGCTCGCACGCGCCGCCCTCTGCAACACAGGCGCCGCGGCCGTCAGGCAGGGACCGCGCTCGGGGTTCCGAGGCGCTGATCTCGGGACAGGGGCGCTGCTCTCGGGACAGGGGCGCTGCGCTCGGGGCGCGGGCGCTGCGTTCAGGGGCGGAGGCGCTGCGCTCAGGACGGGGCGCTGCGCTCGGGGCGCGGGTGCTGCGCTCGGGGGGGGGGGGGGGGCAGGAGCGCTGCACTTGGCCATTAGCGGTGCCATGGGAAGCCGCGCCGGCAGACTGACTGATCAGGAGTGGTGTGCGCAACACGCCGAAACACGCTGCAGCATGGTGGGCTCAGGAACTGTGCATTGCATGAGTGTTGTGAATTCATAGCAGCACGAATATGTGGTCACACCAAATTAGACATGAACGGACTTGCTTCGGCCCCAGGTAGACGGTTTGAACTATGACTTGTATGGCCTCCATGTAGAAATAAACCTATAGCAAGACAGAAATAACTATACAAATAGCAAGAAGAAACACTACATACAAGTTGAGGCGAACATCACACAACGAAAGTTCTGTCTTTCCGCGTAACTAAATTACGTGTGACGAAGACAACTGAAACAAAAGGGGTTGAACTAAGTAGCTGGTGCATGAGTCTAAAAAAGTATACAAGCCATATACCAATTTGTGTACTATTTTTATACATCAGTGAATTCAATGGAGAGCGTGAGCGATACCACAAGTACCGCATCCAACGCGTTGACTCATGACTGAAGTACAACACAATCCCTGCACAGACACGCTCGCCGTCAAACAGTGCAGCGGAGCCGCCCTGTTCGCCAGCAGCGGTCGAGCACAGTGTGCGATCGGACCGACGTACCCGGAAAGTGGCCCTGGGGGCAGTCAGCCGAGCAGATGCCCAGCTCGCGCACCAGCACGTGACTGGCTGCGCACGCTGTGCACTGGGTCTGGCCGGCGCCCGAGCAGGCGGCGCACGTCGGGTGGCAAGACCGGCAGTTCTCCGCATCGTCCATGTGCGCGCCCGGCTCACACTTGGGCAGGCACGCGCTGAAAACAGGCGCGCATGCCAGTCGGAGCACAGACCGTGGCGGGGGCCCCCGACCGAATTGCTGCGTACGGTGTCCTCAGAAGTCCCGAAAAAGTCCAGGAGCATTTAGGAACCGCTCACACGGCCGTTGGGCGTACTAACGCGAGTATATCGATACAATTTTATTCTCATTATAGTATTTTGAACTTCTCACCTTCTTCACCGTGACATTCGTACTTTTGTGAATTTTATTATGATTCCATGAAGCACACAGGAGCACACAGAAGTGGACGCCGGAATACCAAGTTCGATCGATTTTGCTCGTCCAGAAGTGACAAATCTTTTAGAAAAAGGACGGTTACAACTGAATACTACTGCTTTGCTGTCCATGGATCGATGCAATCAATGCATGAATCGCTCAGCCCTGGCTGTCTCGTACGCCAGCACGCGCCAGTGTGTATCGATGCCGACAATATTTCACCTCACCTCTGGTAGTGTCGCCGACAGTGCTGACAATCGGCGCCATCCGGCTGTTGATGACAGGCGGCTCGGCAGGGCCGGTCGCATTCGCCGGTCGACAGTGACCTGCCCTCCGGCACCGCCCCGGTCGATCGCAGCTCCGAGGCAGAGCCGAACTGCCCGACGACGTAGGGCACGAGGTCAGAGAGGTCCGAAGTCAGCCAGCTCAGGGATTGCGCACAAGGTCAGAGAAGTCCCAAGTCAGCCAGCTCACGGATAGGGCACATGGTCAGAGAGGCCCCAAGTCAGCGAGCTCAAGGTGGACACGACGGGCAAGCCTCCGTCTGGAACATGCACTGGATGAAGCGATGGAGCTGTGCTTTGCTACATGTGTCGGCATTACCGCCCACATGCCCACGCGCGGATTCGGCCTTTCAGGCTTTATATTTTCCAAAGCACTGCACTGAAGGGTCGCACACCGAACCACGCTAGAGTCTGGTCCAGTGTGCGGCACCGCACCTGCAGAGTCACAAGCCAGACCATCCTCTGGTCAGGCGTACAGGGTCGCACCTGCTGGGCGTCACGCGGACGCAGCTGGATCGGCTGCTGCTCGGTGCCGTAGAAGATGAGCTGCCACTCCTTGAGAATGCCCTTGGTCTTGGGCTTGCGCATGTGCCTGTTGATGATGGTGAGGTTCCAGACGCCGCGCGGGTTCTCGCCCCAGAAGTGCACCGACATGAAGGGCCAGCGGTCGAAGCTGCTGCCGGTGACGTCTCGCGGCCGCTCGAAGAGAAGCGTGGTGACCGTGCCGGCCGGTGACGTGAGCAGGATGCGCAGGTCCCCACGCGGCACGTACGTCAGTGTCACCTTGCACTGCACGTGCTCCAGGTAGTTGACGGCCTGGCGCGTTTGGCTGCACGCTGTGACGGGCATGGAGACGCGCAGCTGGCCGCCGTATTCATTCGGGATCATCCTGCGGACGGGACGGCGACGTGGTCCGAGCCTGCGCTGTGGCTGAGTTCTGAGCCGCGCTGGCGACGGTTCGCACCTCAGTGTCTCCAGCTTTTTACGTGCCTAGTAACGAAGCACAGTACAGCGCAGGCGACCCGGTCGCAGAACAACAGCTATGGAGATCGCAGCTAACTTACCATAACGGGACTGCGTGGCGTCCGGAACAACTGAAGTCTCCTGTGTTTCGATAACCAGCAGTCTTCCCGAAAGAAGTTTGCCAACATAGAGACGATCATAATAAGCTTAACGTTTTCGTCCGTGACCACCATACCAATTTGGCTACCGGAGTCCGCGGAGGAGGTAATTATTTCTTTCGGCTACTTCTATGGACACTATGCTTTTGCTTTCAGGTCACCAGACTGACGGGACCCTGCGAAGCTCGGCACGCGCCAGCAGGCCCGCCCTCACCTTGGTGTGTCGTCCATAGGCGTGATGCAGATGTGCTGTGTGGGCACAGACTTCCAGCGTTTAGCTAGGTCCACCATAGCCCCGGCGTCCATAAGACCGTAGCCGAATTGGTGACTCACTGCAGAGCAGGACGCATTCGTCACGCGTCGAGGGATGGGGACAGCTGGACATCTGTCTTAAACCAGGGTACTTAGCTGTGTTTAACTTGGCCGCGGGGATTTCAGTCCACAACATAGGCATACGACGATGATATTTTACGATTTCTACGAGGCGATTGATTTGTACTTTCGGCAACAGCCAGCTAAATGGTTAGATTTCACACCAGTATCTCATCCGTCCCGGCAAACATACCTGGAGTTTCGAATGACCGGTAAATACTGATGACGCATGTAGCCAGGATGTTGCCAAAGCGAGGACAATTTCAGAGGGGGCCCCATAGCCTGAGAGACACCACAATTTTGTTTTGAGCATCCACATTGGACATTTATCAGATCTAACCCTCCCTTTTTAAGCAGGGTCTCATTTCACACCAACAGGGTCCTCTCCGTCGATTCAGGGGTTCTCCATGCGTCCGGAAACCTCGTAAACAGTCATTGTTGCATTTAAGTTCATGAAGAGAAGCATACATGACATATAACTGAGAAGCCCAGGCTGCTCCTTGCGGGCCCGACTCGGCCACATAGCGTTCGCGCGGTAGTTTACCATTTACATTGTCAGAGAACGGACGTCTGGCGTGCGATTCACTTTTGTCTGAAACGTGTATTTTTGGACTGTCTTAGCGCGTCTTGATTCGGGTGACTGGGTTGATGTTTTAAACGTTCATCAGGAACATAGCTAACAGAAATAACTGTAGAAACTTCCGGTGACCCTCAGTGAGCATGTATTGCCTCATTTGCTCTCTTATCCTCTCTCTTGCTTGTCCTGCATCCTCACGACACCCTGCTTGTTCGGGGCAGGTTTCATGTGCCAATCATGAGTGGGTCCAAGTACAAGTGGATTTAAGGAGCATTTAACATACTACCCCGTGGAATTCTCTAGTGAATGCAGCCGTTCCGCATAAGATGCCGATCAACTGTCTCTAATGTTCACATTCAAGAAAATGATCTTCCACAGGGTAGCTGTATAGTTCCATCACTCTTCAAACTAATAATGAATGATTTATTTGATGACCTCTCTTCAAACATATCCTCCCCTCTTTTCACGGATGACAGGGAGATTCGGTGCTCAGATGTTGAATTTAGCCACTTATTACTGCGTCTCCAAGGCGCACTTCATAAGTTACAACAATGTTCAAGATGTTATGGTCCTTATTTCTTCACCCCAGTATCGGCCGTCATGATTTTCAGTAAAAGGCGACGACCTGAAACGGCAACTGAAAGAAATGCTCTCGGCGACTGACGGCCGGGGTGCTGTTGCTTCGCGCTGGGCCGTGGCCGTTCAAATCGCCGAAAAATGTTGTAAAAATGAAGAGAATGGTTGTGAAATTAAGTAACAAGTTGGTAAAGTTGTTGTTAAAGATTCGTGTTGTCATAATTTCGTGGAATGTATAAATAGCCTACATGGATGGTGCAAACATGCGACCGTACAGCACATGCAACAGTCTGGAAAGATGTGGTAAGAGTGAGTGGCGTGTGTGTTACTTCATGTCTGATCTATAGCACCACTCTACCTTGGTGAGACCCACCGTCTGTGGCGTCACAACAATGTTAACGAGGAATTTGGTATCATAAAGTTATATGTCAGAAGGACGAAACCACGTTTCCTGTGTAGCGCATATGACTGGAGCTCATACGACAAAAAGTGTTTTCATTGCAGACCATTTAAAAATAAGATCGCGACAATTCCGCTACTATAAAAGACATTTCTTGGTGAATGGATCAACCTCGACCAGTTGGTGGGAATCGGCCGAACGAAGCTGACCATGACCAGCCCACGGCCAGTCTCACAGGGGGCGGGGGAGGGGAAAGGACTGGCGGTGTTCGATCGAGTGTGTTACAGCAGATGTTGTGCTGCGGGGGGGGGGGGGGAGGGACCGTTCGGGTGGTGGCCGGGGGACCGGCCGCCGACCGTTCATAGTTGGAGGGTTAGGACGCCGGACGGCTTGAGCCGCACGCGGACCACGCACACCCGAAGGGCTCGAACACCAAGGCCAGGGGTGACTCGACAGTATCTGTCGTCTGGGTCTGGGTGGTCGACTCAGCTGAGACGGAGGTGCGGGGGTGGGAATCTGCAGGGGAAGGCAGCTGGGGAAAAGCCAGTCTGTATTCCACATGCGGCCATCGTGACTTTTGCTGACTGCGCATATGCTTTGCTGGATCGAGGGGACATTATTTGATTTGACAGTACGCCGTGCCTTGGGAGACGACACGGCTGTCTTGGCCTTTTCGGAGCAAATCTCTTTATGAGTGAAAAGTGACAAGGTGTGCGTTTGGAACAAGTGCGAACTAAAGCGACGAAAGCGACGATAAGAAAAAAGAAACACATTGGATTGTACACGCAGCAGAAGCGAACCCTCGCCGTAAGATCGTGGTCTGCCAAAGCGGGTTGTAGCACCGATTGGGTCAGTCATGTTTTCTTCTCTGGGGGGCGGGGGGGAGGGGGTATTTGGTCATTTGGACTAAAGCCCTCCGACCAGGCATGATCATTTCAGGGCTATGGGAAGGAGATTGCATTATGGTGGAGTACGACTGCATGCGCCTGGGAGCCAAGGTCCGAGCCCTCGCCAGCCCGCGCAGGGACCTATCTGTGGGGTGTACGCTGGGCACCTGGTCGAAATCCCCTTCAGTAGGCCTCGCGACCCACTCGTGGCTAGCGCACGTAACCAAACCCGGACAAACGGGGCGTCACGAGGATGCGGAATGGCCCCATTGCCAGAGCGTCCTAAAGTGGCAAACAAACAAACGAAACAGAGATTTTAGATCCTGCACCACTGTTACCTTCAAAGTTGGCATGGAAGTTCTTGACATTGGCATAACAGTATCTGTGATCACTTACATAGCGTTAGTAATAGTATCAACGGGAAAATATTATAGTAATATTATCAACGTAATATTATCAACGTGATAATATTATCAAGGCGAAATATGCCACGAGCTCTCAGCATCAAGCGATGCACTGGTTGCCTCCATGTTGTCGGTTACCATGCTTTAATGTTTGAAACACAATCATTGACATACGGATTAATCCTAATGCTTCCTATTTTCATCACAATAATGATCGCATGAATGCATTCTTGTGAGCGGTGCACCAGTGGACAGTGGTCAGGGGTGCCAAACGGGTTGGACCCTCGATTTATACTAAACTCAACTAAACCCACTCAACTTAGCCCCGTGAGGCTTCACAGCAAAAATGATATACCTCTCTCTCAAAAGACACCAACAAATAGGTTTAATTCTTCCCGGATTTGGCTTACTGTCTTCTCAAAGTCGGGACGGAGACCAAATGTTTTGGGTAGTTAGAGCTCTCTTCGGCTGAATAAGAAACTATACCCCTGCCAAATGCCAGTCAGTGTCAGGCATGTTTTATATAGTTCCTGGTGTCAAGTGTGATCCAGTACACACATGATGAAGATGCGTTGATGGTTCTAGTACTGGTGTGGTCACAAAAATATGGAATATGTCATGTCATTTGGAATACATGACTAACACGTCTTAGTAGTTAATCATTGCCATTGGCACAACCAAGATATTCCACACGCCGGGAGAAGCTCTTCAGCATGCTACTCCTTCACATCCTTCTTTATTGTCTCAGATGTTGTACTTGCCTACTTTTGTTTGCTTTAGGAAACATAAGGCTCTGAGCTATTGGGGACAAGGGGCATGGGAGGGGCAGGGGGTATGCCAAGATTACAGCCGGTTGCTGATCTTTAAACGCTCTGAAAATCTTACGTTGTTTCTGTTGGCATTGATTGGGCATAAATAATCACACCTTTATGGAAGAATTCCTGTTGCCCCCGCTCCTAATACAACCTGCAGCATGCTAATTTCTTGTTAGAATAATTTGAAGAAGCCCGGCTGTCGTTTTTGACCTGCATATGAGTCTGCACGGGTGTTACTTAATATTTTGGATTTGGGAGCCATAGCCGCATCGGCCCAAGATTACAAACAAATTTAGGTAAGGCATGACTATGAAAGTGCACATAACTTTTGTTGGAAAGTTTCCGTTCCGAGCTCATGCTTATGCTCAAAAACGATTCTTTCACTACTACTGCGGATATCATGAGAAATCAATCTATACATGTCTTCCCGGCCCATCCGTCTAAGACAATTCCTAGCGCCTCTCAGCATTGAATGCAACCGTTGCCGCCTTTTTAATGGCTGCACACTTAAATATTCCCCTTTCATCGAGGTGATCGTTTGTTTATACTTTCACCGATTTGAAGTCACTCGTATCTATACCGCGAATCGGAATTCGTCTGCGACGGATTGACCACCATCTCAAGCGTTATTAATCCCACCCTCGTTGACATCTCGGTTCACTCAACACCGCCCTATTCCTACCTGTCAGCCACTGACAAACGCAACCCTCCAGCACATGCCCTCATAACTTCCACCCCAGCACTGCGATAATGCAGGGAAATCTACATAACTTCCCTCATGCTGCCCGTCCGACCCAACATATCATATTTACCAATAACATTTCCCCGTGGCAATTTCGCACTTCCCCTAAACGACAACTGAACCAGTCAATCGCGACGCCCTCGGTACTATTTATCCGCGTCGTAAATCACATGTGATTTATAATTACAGGCGCACATTGTGTCATACTACCGAGACATTACAGAAATGAGGCTTAGAAATGAATATGTTATAAGAAATGATGTAACTGAGGTGCCAACGGAAGAAGGACCAATGCAGCCACATACATAACAACACGAACAAGACAAGAATATACACATACACGGCCATCATCGAAGTTATCAGGGGAAAATCTCGGTCACAGATCAAACGGAGCGGGATCGCCACTTTGTGGCGCGTAGGAGCACCACAAGTAAGTGTCGGCGACTACCTGGGGCACTGCCGCAGGGGCTCGTAATCCGTTGCATCATGAGCTAGAATCGTTTTTGAACTGGGGCGGGAGTAAAAAATTCCATCACAAAAAGGCCGTGTAGGAATGAAGAACTCATTTCACAAAAGTTGGAACTTATGAGTCAGTAAGATATGTTCCAGGAGGCAGACATACATTTCAGGTTGGTATTGACGTAACATCATAAACATGACAAAACAGTTTCCGGTTTTTGAAATCTTAGGTCATTACAGTGAAACACAATCCATTACAGAATAGTAATTTCGTACCAGTGTGATGACCACAAAAATTATGCAACACCAGTGTTTTGGCACACTCAGGCTTGAATGTACCTAGTGCCCTTGCTCTGTGCATACATAGACATGATTCAGGTGCATGTGAGGCAGGATATAGCAATAGGTGTCCAGGTTCTGTGGAGCCTTGTCTATGCTTGATGGTTACAAGTGGGCCCGGTTTTGGATGACATTCTAAAACCTAGGAAAGGGAAATATGGGTTTGGTATGCGCGGTTGGGCAATATCAGGTAGGAGTGAGCAATTCATTTAAAACATGGGAAAAAGGGGTGAAAAATTTATTCTCATAGGGTGTTGCTTTACACCTCAAATCGGCAATTCTAGGATACTGTCGCTACGTAGTCTTGCCACACCGTTATCCATTTTCCATTATCCCATGGCGTTAAAATAGTCATAGCCGGCTGAAAGAACTCTAATCTAAACAGCTAACCAAAAAACGACCAAACGTAACACGCACGGTTTACCCGAGTCTTATTTTGTCGCAGTCGCTACACTACCTATCCTACATTCGCGTCCATATTTTCCAACTACAGAGCTCACATTCTGGGACTAACATTTTGCCTTATATCGGAGCTGGATAACTTCGGAACAACTATAGCAAGGGGAATAGGATTAAAACAAAAACATGCCAGTTTTTTATCAGTATCGCTTGCCTTACTAGTCTCGACCAGATCTAAATTTTACGAGGTCATAAGGCTGCCTATAGGCCCGACCGGGTAGACCTGACTTGAAGCAAAGAAATCGATGCGTTTGGAACAATTGAGGTTTTCGGTATCTGCCACCAGCACAAAGCGTACACATCTTGGGTGGAAACTAAACACAGTGAATTGGGCTCCACGCTTGCGTTATACCCGTGGTTCAGACTCTGCTGCAGCCTCACCAATTTTATTCGAAACGGATAGCCAAAAAAGCAACGCTAGCTGATTCCCAGTACTTGGCTGGCGTCGTTACGGTCGGACTGTGCATCCCTCTATACCATGCATTCGGTTCGGGCGTCCTCATTCGCTCTGGTTCCCCAGACGCGACGTCAGTGCCAGCTAGAGAGGCCCAACAACGGACGGCTCGGTGGTGTGCGGCAGCGCGAATGTGAACGTCCGCACACGGACTGGACGCGCGCTTGCCAGTATAACTGCCGGTTTGCTTCTCCGTACCGCTGAGATTGAGATTCCCGTACATCCCGTATTTTCTTTATCCCACCAATCTTGTGTTTCTGACGTTAATCAAATAGCTTGGACCTTATGTTGCCATACTAGATGTTGCATGAGAATCAACCATGATCAAACAGCTAGAGATTTAATGTTTCAGGTCGCAACGTATCAATAATTGCAAGGAAAATCTACAGAGAAAAGCTACTCGGTGGTCGGAAAGACGTCTAGAACAGGCAGCGGCCGGATCAGGCCGCCGGACCGCTCAAGCTTATCTCCTGACAACTGAAGAAGGATTCGCTCGGCATACGCCTCCCTCTTAATCACTCTAACCGATCGGTGCAGAAATCGAGCGTGATGGTCACCTTGTCACTTCGTGGTCGCCATGAGGCTGTGGCGCACGCTTAAAACAAATATTCTCCAGACTGGTGCTGCCACCTGCTGCGGATCTCTCCCTCCAACCGGGCACCGTGGCGCCACCTACCATGGATGTCACGAGCATTGATACAACACCATCGCGCGCGGCTGCGTTAGTTCCAATGCCGCGATATCCAACTCCCTTATATCCAACGGACAAACGCGACTCTCCGTCTCGGCTGATGTCACGGCTCCAGTCCAGTCGGTCAGTCGGCAGCTCCTACGTGACGTCATCACGTCCGTAACGCACCTTTGCGGCCGACGCCGTTGGTCATCCAGCCGGGCTCATTGTCCAGCGGCTCGTGACGTGAGGTCATCAGCACGATGTACTGCATGTCGCGCCAGCTCAGCGACGGGTTGGCCTCGAGCGCGAGCGCGCAGAGTCCGGCCGCCAGCGGAGCCGAAGCAGAGGTGCCTGCAACGACGCCGTGTCAACGCGCGCTCAGCACAGCCCTACACCAAACGAAATGGTCCCAGCATCTGAACACTCGAGGGATCTAAGCTGTAACCCGTCTGAGCCATCAGATCGTTATCGTAGTGTTCTCAACAACAACAATGGCATCACGATGCAGCTCAGCAATCCAATAACCACATGCGGCTCTAGTAGAGTTCGCACAAGATTCAAAAGGTGCTCAGAAGCCGCTGTAAAATCAGACGTCTTCACGCCGCCGCAAAAAGTGTACAGCGTTTAGACCACAAGCATTATCTCTTAGATGGTATAGTGCTCGTGAAATGTAAGGTAGGCTTAGTTTTCTTGAAGTGGGACGGGGAGGAGGGAGGAGTAGGCTGGGCAAAAGGGCAGATCACCAGCTACGGAACTTACCTTGGCGATAAATGTGCATAATTGAGAAATACAACATTTTATTTGACAAACAATAGAAAATATGTTTCCATCTAGCACAGAGCGACAAAAAAGTTCTACACATCGGAGCGCCGCCAAGTGGTGGTTTTCAGCAATGTTTGCTACGATCACTTCCGGGCAAAACTTTGCATTAAAAGGCTTGTTTGGCTGCGAAAACCACTCTTGACAGTGCCTAAAATACGTTTTCACTTCTTTTGTGGCGGCATAGGCCTGCGAACAATACCAACAATGCCAACTAGGCGACCTTCAAAGAACAGGACGGAAAACGAGGAATGATAGCGCATACCAGGAGCCCTGCACATTTTAAAAACGCTGGCTTTAAAAAGTTTTCATTTAAGCCTAGAAAGAGACAGTTGAAAATATCGCAGCTCTGAGTTTATGAACAAGGCAATTTTGACTTTTGACAGGTATCGAATATCAGAAACATCAGCACTTGACATAGCAAAGAAAGCCATCAGCTCCTGGCCTTTCGTCGCTGTGAGTTCAATGTTCTTATGTTGAGTTAGCGAATTTCGGTACACCAGGACGCGCTGGTTAAACGACATTGTAACATTAACTACCAATTATATTGACGGTACTCGATATTTCGAGCTGTGCTCATCCTCAGGATTAAATGAGGATACAACCCCTGAGGGTGAGAACAGCTCGAGATATGAGTGCCGTCTAGATTATTTTTCATCAGCACTACGACGTCGTTTAACCAGCACCTCCTGGCGTCGCGAAAGCTGTCGATTCAGCATAAGCGCTTTGAACTCAACGTCAAAGATGCCAGACGCCAATAGAGGCGCCAGTAATGACGTTTTATATGCCTATAACACAGACGGCTTTGTATGATATGCAATCCTCTTAGCATGAGGAATATGACTGACTTAGGCTGGGTTCTAACTAAAGAAAGCTTTAACACGTTAATGGCAAGCCTCGGATGAAGAAAAAGGCAAAAGGCAAATCAGCTGGAAAGGCAAAGAAACTGAGCAGAATTGCTGCATTATCCACTGATGGGCATAAGACTAGTGACATGCTTAAGGCTGCCCATCACCCAGTAACATGTGAGATGGATATGTGTTGTTCTCGTGAGGATATGTGGTGAATATCCTGCCATGCTGTGCCGGGGGCGGGACTGGTGACTAAAAGGAACTAAAACCTTACCTTACCATAGGTAAAGCGTCTTTAGCACCCTTAGGAACTGAAATCCATGCATCACGTGAATGTGACTCTAACATAATTGTGATCTGAGGTGGCGGGCCGCATTGTACACTGCAATATATGCACCGACATCAGACACCTGGATTTTGAGCCTTGAATCCCTGCCTTTTGGTCCGAGTGCCGTTGCGCAGACACGAGCGGGATCTGGCTCTCAGCTTTGCCAGAGAGGTTACCGGCGTTACGAAGTCTGCGGACTGCGCTCTGACATTGGACTGATGGGGAAGACTACCGTTGGGCGCGGTCGCATGAAGCCTTCGGTGATCTTCACAGCGAGCCACGACGAATGTTTCATTCTAAAATGTTTACCAAACTATGTGACGATATCCCAGGTGTCGCTGTGCGGCTGTCGTGTGGTGGTGAGATCGGTACGGTACCATAACATACCTGGTGAGTAACGGACATAGCGACGACAGATGCTTAGAGCCCGCGGTAACAGACCAGAAAACACGCAAACCCATTCCGACAGCTTTTCACAGGTAGCGGCAGAAAAAGCGCCCTGTGAAAATCTGCCTCCAGATGACAGGCCGAATGGTCGACATCAGTGTGCTGTGCTTTGCGCTGGTGCCCTCTAGTACCGTCGCATTTATTCAACCCGCGCTTGGGCATGGGTCAATTTGACAGTCCTGAAGGTTTTTCCAGAAGAATTTCTGAAGAACGCGGCGTAGCAGCGCCAAATTATGCACAGCTGTGGGCAATTTAATAGTGGATCTCGAGGCATTGACAGTTAGATGTGCCTTGTAAGGCCGCTGACCTATCGGAGGTTAAAATCAGGCTGTGGCTGTCGGTGAAGGCAATTTCCAGGGATTCGTTCAATATGATGCGACAACAGAGTAATAGAAGAAGCTTTATGTCTCTGAAATTGTTTCATAGACAATGTCACAATGAAGTTTCAGGATTACAACAAATTTCATAGAACTTAGGTCAGGTACGAAGGTCAACTCGAAATCAAAACCAACCCACTTTTTACTGTAGGGCCTACTATACCGGAAAGTTGCTGATGCTCCTTTAAAATGATTGATAACAAGGACTGCAACAAACATCTGGCATAAACATGAACAATCTAGCACGTTTTTGGTCACCATTGCATTATAAAGGTTAAAAAGGTCACTGGTCTATACCGAGCGCTAGAAACCTTTTGGTTAGAACAGGAATGTAGGTTCAAGGCGGTTGCATGAGGGGGTACGAGAGCACTTTCAAACATAAATGTGGTGTTGGATTTGGTTTGACGTCATTTGATCCAAAGATCATGACCTACGAACATCAAATTTTGTCACAAGTGAATTCGCATACCGGCCAATATACTCTGTGAATCTGGTGTCTCTAGCTTTATAATTCTGCTATGTCAAGGGGTTCAAATTGGCCTGCAACTGAGCCAAGGGTATTCGGACGGCTGCCTGGGCGCGTGTTAAAAACGACTTTTTCCCTGAAAGTAATCTTTTGCTAGACCAATCAGAAAGCACGAAAAAGGAGAGAGGGCAAATATCCTTGCAATGCCCAACTGCACGGTCTTCTTCGCGTCGGCGCCTGGCCCAGGTACTTTCAGGTATTCAGCACAATCGCAGCCAAAGCAAGAGACCGGACACGCACCTGTGTGGGACACGGTGCAGATATGTTTCGGCCGCAGGGCGGCGTCCTGGTCGCATGTGGCCATCGACTTGTCGTGCAGCGGCGTGCCCGAGCTGTAGGTGGTCGCCAGCGTGGAGGCGCACTCCTCCAGGTACCAGGGCTTGTTCCTGCAGCAGCCCGGGCGGATGTCAGCTGATTGTAATGTACTTTTGCGTTTCGGACGGGGCTTCTGACGTCTTCCGCTGGCGCTTAAGCTCCTATGCTGCAGATTTTTTAATTAAGCTTTGGCTCGATCGCCTTACGTTTAAAAGTCGGCCGCAACAAAGCCAACCGCGACTTATTTCGGAAAAAGTTCGATCCAAATCCAACCACAAACAGCAAAAGTCTTCTTCACCTGTAGGGCGATCATTCGGTTAGCCATGGAAAGAGGCTGACGCTGGGTGGGGCCTAAGCTCCACCCCACCCCCTCTCCTGCCAGGACTAGCGCAGCGTGAGCCCGGTCAGCCAGCTCACTGCGCCAACTTACGGTTACTGGCAGGACATATTGTTGGGATTTTTTTGCAGGCGAAGTTTGTCAATAAAGGGACATGCTGTTTAGTATTCACTGTTAACATAACAAGGCTCTGTTGGTATTCCCTGTTATGCACCTTTGCAATTAAGTGTGATCCAACCACAAATTTCACGAGCATCTCCAGACAACAATAAAATATTTAACACTAACAGTAATACAGCTCTCAAATCACTGATGAACCTCGAACAGTTACGAAAGTAAAGATTTTCATGAAGGCACCAATCCGGGAAAGGAAGCATGGGACCACAGCACTTGTTATGCCAGAGCTGAATACACCCGGCATTTTATCTGCCAGTATCTGCAGAGGCCGAGTAAAAAATCCAGACACGCATTGTATGAGGTCCCGCCATGCGGTGTGTGTATGCTGTGGTACAGACACATCCTCAATATTGTGGTCACACTGTTCATGGCAGTGTCGGACCCCATTCTGGCAATGAGTCTGTTTCTTTGCGAAGCGTGTCTGCCTCACATCATTTGAGATATACCACACACTCAGCTGTTGCGGCTATATAAGGTCGCCTCCCTTCACCCCGGCAGGAAGGAACGCTGTGGTCATTCAAGCTTCCCTGAGATGACATTGTTGCAACTGAGCAGGTCCATCGTAGTGGAACATCGAGCTAACAATTTGGTAAAATGGAAGAGGACCTAGTTTGGTACAACTACGAACAAGGTCACTTAGAAATTGCGCATAATGGACCTGCTTCGTTCATTTACTGAGTTCATTAGTCAAAAACAACTTCGACAAAACTTATTTGAAACACGAATCAAGACAAGAATTTGGAGGTGGGATAATAATGTTCGAAGCCGGTACATCTAGGTAACATTGTTTAGAGCTGCGTGGCTTCGTAGGCTCGTATTTTGCCAGAAGACGCGAGTTTGAGTCGCAGGGAGACTAGTTTGTAACACCTATATCGTCAGCGCATCCGACCCAGTTTAAAGACGCCGCCCGGCCGAACTCACCCGCCCTGCGTGGCTGAAGAGATGGACAGCGTGAAGATGCTGTTTGTATAGCCGTCGCAGTTGCAGTTGTCCAAGTACTGGCCGCCATTACCCGAGGCCCACACGAAGATTGAGCCGCGACCATCCCTGCCCTGAAAGCATGGTTTGATCATACCACGTGACGAAAAAGTGACGAGTGTTCAATTATTCGAGTGCATGCTTCTGACGACCACATAGTATGCACTACAGTTACAGCAAGCGTTTTTAGTTCGATGTCCATTGCTCATACCAGTGGGTGATAAGCTGTAAAAATGTAGGGAAATAGGCTGCATTTCTCACCAAAACATTTGTTAGAAAGAATGGGAGGACACATAACTCACGATTCAAGGCCAAGACCACATGGCACATTGTGTCACAGTCAGCTTCTTTTGACGCAATGCAGCGATTAAAATAAACACGCATCGTCCAGTTTCCCTTTTTATAGTGTGCAATGTGACAATAGCACGATCTTGCTAAGATAATCACAAATAAAGGACACAACATATGAACTGCCACAAAGAGCTCAAAAGCCGCTACAGTGCTGATCAGAACCCATGTATTTACGCGGTTTCTACTGTTTTTCCGGTTGGGGACGGGCTGACAAGAAAAAACTAGAACTAATTCAAAACTAATGCACTTTGCTACACGACCTGTGCCAAGCGTCAGGAGAACGGAACGGCTCATCGATGCAAACTGCTGGTGGAACCAGGTGGATAGGTTGGTAGAAGATCGCGACAAGACGGAGGTATTCAAAACACGGAGGGGCGAGCATGAACATTCGGCAGAGCGCCGTATGTTCACATCGCGGTCCTCAGCGACACCTCGGTGCGCTGGACTATCTACAGCGCGGCGGCTAGGACTGCGCGAGCGTAGTCTGTCGTGCACGCCGAGCATCCCTACTGCGGCACGGTGGCCCTCGGTCACCCCGCCCCGAACGCCCCCGCCCCTCTTCTTCCCACTGCCGCGCAGCAGCCTCCGGGAGTCCCGCGTCGAGGGCCTCCCAGCTGCCCCACATGAGCCTCCGGCAGCCCCGCGTCGAGAGCCTCCCAGCTGCCCTACAGGAGCCTACAGCAGCCCCGCGTCGAGCACCTCCCAGCTGCCCCACAGGAGCCTCCGGGAGTCCCGCGTCGAGCACCCCCCAGCTGCCCTACAGGAGCCTCAGGCAGCCCCGCGTCGAACACCTCCCAGCTGCCCTACAGGAACCTCAGGCAGCCCCGCGTCGAGTACCTCCCAGCTGCCCTACAGGAGCTTCCGGCAGCCCCGCGTCGAGAACCTCCCAGCTGCCCTACAGGAGCTTCCGGCAGCCCCGCGTCGAGAACCTCCCAGCTGCCCTACAGGAGCCTCAGGCAGCCCCGCGTCGAGTACCTCCCAGCTGCCCTACAGGAGCTTCCGGCAGCCCCGCGTCGAGAACCTCCCAGCTGCCCTACAGGAGCTTCCGGCAGCCCTGCGTCGAGAACCTCCCAGCCGCCCTACAGGAGCCTCAGGCAGCCCCGCGTCGAGGACCGCCCAGCTGCCCTTCAGGAGCCTCAGGCAGCCCCGCGTCGAGTACCTCCCAGCTGCCCTACAGGAGCCTCAGGCAGTCCCGCGTCGAGTACCTCCCAGCTGCCCTACAGGAGCTTCCGGCAGCCCCGCGTCGAGAACCTCCCAGCTGCCCTACAGGAGCCTACGGCAGCCCCGCGGCGGTCCGTTCGGCTCGGGTGTGTCCCACTATCGTCTTGTAGTGCAAAGTTCCCCTACCCAAGCAGTGCAAGCGCACGTGTCATGCATGCTATTCATGTGCACCTGCGATCTCGCATGCGTGCGACGTCGAAGGTGATTGTAAATGGCGTTTGTAACCGAACAGGATTGTGACGAACAGCATGTGTAAGAAATGTGATGACTGATCAGCAGTGTGAATAGGACGGAAATAATCTGCACTTTACAATTACAGCCATAAATAAGACAGTAGCATTAGCGTCATTCCTCCGAGAAAAAAAAACAGGGGAATGGAGATATAGTTGGGTTTAGCCCAACTATATCTCCATTCCCCTGACTTTCCTCAAAGGAGTAAGGCTAATACGACTGCCTTATCTATGTGAATAATGTTCCCCGCTAATACACTGAACACATGACAGCCATAAGCACGGATCACTTAAACTTGCGTTACCGAACAGTTCGGGGGTGCGTTGTTGAACTTTAAACTGACTCGGCGTGGGATCAGGAAAGATCGAGAATGCGTAGACTGATAGCAAAAATCGCTGCCCTTCGAATACAGCCTAATTGCGTTTGCATCTACTTAATATGCTCATGGTGTCAGAGACCAACACATACCCACAAAGCCAAAACTTTGATGAGTTATTGCGGCGTAAAGCGCAAGCATGCGACATTAGCATTGTTTTAAGAATCGGAAAAATGGCGCCGTTCATGACACATTCAACCAACAATGAGTTGCTGTGTCTTGCTTCTCAATTTGCCGCTACAAAAAGTTGGGATTTACTATTCGGGGCGCGGCGCGCAGCGTACCTTGAGCACGCCCTCTATGAAGGCCCGCCGCGCCAGAGGACCGGGGCCGTCCACCGTTTTGCCGTCGTCTTCGGGTCCCCAGGAGGCACTGTACACGTCGATGTGGTTTCGTCGGAAACTGAGCGCCTTCGCCTCCACGTAGTCGTTCACGCCGCCGTCGAGCATGCGCACACCTGGCGAACAGGGTTTGTTCAGTTCGCTGGTGACGCGCATTTCAGGTTGCGTGGATTGGTAAACTGTGGCAAACAGAGGTAGCGAATTTGCATGTTTTGGCTTTATCTCTCATGTGAATGAGGCTGTTGGAAACTAAGCTTGTGCAGACACCATAGCTCAAGCAATACCTTTATATCAAATAACTGCAGTCAACCAAATAGAAGCTGCTTGCTGTACGACACGGCAGGTCAGCACAAAATTAACATTTCGAAACGCCTTACATGTAATCGAAGGTTCTCATTAGTATTCCGGACGTTGAAAAACATGAAACCCGAAATAGCGTCTCCATAGATCTTCGGGAACAAAAACACCGGGACAAAAAGTTGCGCTGATAATGCATCAGCGCAAATATATGCCTCGTTGACATCAGCTGGACAACAAAAACGAGAGTGCTTTCAATTGACGAGCGATCGACTTCCTCCGTCGCTGCCACCCAATGTCGGCAAAGACGCTACCGTCATGGCAGTTGCAATGGTGGTGGCGCCCTTGAACTGCAAACCAGCACTGCCTAAATGACGCCAGTGTTGCACCGAGGGGCAGGAGAGACAACTCACTAGCGGACTTATCGAGACAGACAAACCTATTAATGGTACACCGACAGACTTACCTTGTGAGAGACATGCATAAATGCTCTTATCCAGCAGAAGCTTGCAGTCTCCCAGAGTCTCTAAACAAAGAACAAGGAATCTGGCATACACACCACATTTCACTTCTTTCAGAAGACTACGCCGCGTATTCACATCATACAGATGGAGAATTACGTCCGACTGCTATATGAATGAACGGCAGATGGACTGACCTCCAATGCTGGCGTTGGGCCCCAAGTCGGACAGGAGAACCGTTTCACGACTGACCTCCGATGCTGGCGTTTGTCCCCAAACCGGGCAGGCAGGCCGTTCCCCGACTGACCTCCGATGCTGGCGTTGGGAGCCACACCGACGCCGCAGACGGTGTTGCCGGCGGCGGCGGCCACCTCGCCGGCGCAGCGCGTGCCGTGCCGGTTCGTGCCGTCATCCCGCGGCGTCGGATCGTCGTCGTTGTCGTTGATGTCCAACGACGCCCACGGGTCCTGGATGACGAGGACGAGCACGAGTCATCGGTGTGTAGACTGCTGACGTCCGCCGACGTGTGTGGTTGCTGAGGACATCCGCCGACTTATGTGGGCGCTGGGTGCATCCGCAGACGTGTGTGGGTGCTGAGCACATCCGCTGATGCGTGTTGGTGCTGAGTCCGTCCACAGACGTGTGTGGGTGGTAAGTACATCTGCTGATGCGCGTTGGTGCTGAGTACGTCCGCTTGCGTGTGTGGGTGCTGAGCGCATCCGCAGACGTGTGTGGGTGGTAAGTACATCCGCTGATGCGCGTTGGTGCTGAGTACGTCCGCTGGCGTGTGTGGGTGCTGAGCGCATGCGCAGACGTGTGTGGGTGGTAAGTACATCCGCTGATGCGCGTTGGGTTGGTGCTAAGTACGTCCGCTGACGTGTGTGCGTGCTGAGTGCATGCGCTGACGCGCGTGTGTGTATGGGGGGGGGGGGGGGTGCGTGCGTGCGTGCGTGCGTGCGTGCGTGCGTGTGTATGTGTGTGGGTGCTGAGTACATCCGCTGATGCGCGCAGCACTGGATACACCAGTCATCAAGGTGGGATGGAGCGCGAGGTAGCAGCCTGAGCCGCAGATGCGCAGCACATGCGACCGGGGTAAAGCATAGGGCGTTACTACCGGAGTGCTCCTGCTGGCGAGAGCACTGGTAAGATCTTAAGTTAAATCAACTGACCACGGATACAGCATGGCCTTTGAATGATGTGTGTAGAAAAGGGAAAAAGTGAATGCGAACCCACAGCTTGGCGTCATACAGGGATGTGAGTCGCAGAAACATAGTAGCTTAGGGAGGCAAAGCATTGACTTATAGGCCAGGCCAATCAAGCAAAATGCGCCTTGGCATACTATATCGAAAAAGGCGACATCATCATGTCGGGTTGTGGTTTGCCATCAGTTGAGTCATGAGTTTGCAGTCGCTCTGCAGTCTGTCCTAAGCACAGACCACAAAAAGGCAATAAAATACAGCTCGCAGGTCGTTAGGAAACATTTCGGTGGTGTTTACAGCCGTGAGGGAACACTGACGGACTTTGCAGACTGCAGGACTGTTATCTGCAATCGATTGTAGAAATCTGGATGACAGGCAGTTGAGATACATCCGAGACACAGACAATGGGCGTATTTAAATGTGAGCGTGAGGATTTAGGAGACACCCATTTCAAGCAATTCATTTTCGGCTGAGGTTTCACAATTATTGTTTGAATGCCGTCTTGATTGGTCAGCATGCCGTGTGTACAGTTCGATAATGCAGGCTAATCACACGGATACTCTAAGGACAGACGAAACCACGAACGCGAATTTAAGGCAGTTTTAAAACGTGGAACTGCCAGTAGCCCACATATTTCCGCGGTGCGTGCGTGCGTGCGTGCGTGTGTGCGTGCGTGCGTGCGTGCGTGCGTGCGTGCGCCCGTGGTGATATCAGAGCCGTGGTGTCACCACGGCGTTGGTTCATATGGTTCCTACATGCAACTGAGATCTGAACGCATCCTCGGCTGCTGTTGGATTCCTAATGCAAACTGCAACTGTTGCACTTTGATCTGCTGCAGTTGTACTTTACGGTCTTAGTCGTCTCGAAGCCGGCGATTATGGACAAACGCGGACAGGCTAATCAAACGAAAAGTGATGCAATGGCTGCCATGTGCTCTGAAGGCGCCGGGGATGAAACTTTAAGAGACTTCTTCTGAAATCATGCACGCCTACAATATAGGTGAGCGACATAATAAGGCACATCTAAATTTTTAAAACCAGACGATCCGCCATTCAATTGTCTACAGCTATGCAACATTCGACTACAACTACAGCCGTTCGGAAACCATTCCGGAAGACCTTCGGGGGGGGGCAATTTCACCCCCACCCCGCCCGAGCGCATGTTAAGACAGCGAAACCGGCTTGTCGGCACAGTCAAGAGATCGAGAATGGTAGCAAACCTTAACAGCTCGGGCATTACGTCAGGTTGACGGGGTCATCTAGGAACTACGCTGACATAGTCCTGTTTACATTTCGCATCACGATCAGGTACTTCAATGGACGTCAAAAACGTGCCTATAACTAAGGTCATAGCGTTCATATCTAAGGTCTGCCATGCAGGAAGGCGACCGCGGGTGGGGGCGAGGCAGCGTTCCCTCTCAGAACAGCTCAACTGGGGCCGGTACTCGCCACTGGCTGCTAGAAATCGGGGCGATGAGGACTGGTTTCCCCGGAGATTCCGATCCTCGGTGCAGCCCCACCGCAGAGCTCAGCGATCGGGCTCGTCTGATCATGACAAACAGTCGATGTTTGTGCAGCCCGCACGGGGTGTCCCAGGAAGCGGCGATAGAGGCGTGCGCACTCGAGGTCACGGCTGAAACGTGCAGTCACCCAGACCGTCCTACCTGGGACGTAAAGTCCCTGCCACAGGCGTGCAGTCAACACGGTCCCGCCGGTCGTAAATTTTACTTGCAGCAAGCGAGGCAGCGAAGCGCCGGGCACGTGCCACTGTCTGGGCTGTTGGCGTCGGCGCTCCAGCACGCGCCCACTCACGTAATTGTCCACCAGGTCCGGATGGTTGGGCTGGATGCCGTCGTCCAGGATCGAGACCACCACGCCGCGACCGCTGTAGCCCTGCTGCCAGGCCGGCAGCACGTTCATGTCGTTGCCGTCCTTGGCGCCACCGTTCTGCAGAGCGGGGCGCAGCTTCTCGTTAGGGCGAGGTCACCGGCTGTTGGTTAGTTAACGAGGTATGGTGAGGATTTAACATATGGGGAAACGCTCGGTATATTGTAGGAGGTGCGAATGTTACAGGCTGTAACACCACTGAGATTTAACGGTTATGTCTTGGTCATATCATGGATAACTGATCTGCCGTTTCGTTTATTCATCTTACTTTCCTTCTTCGGGGATCAAATCGTTATGCTGGAGTGTTTTCTTTGTGATGGCAGTGTTTCACATAACTACAAATAATATTCTAATATTTTGCTGTTTTTTTCTCATGAATAAATTTCATATAACTTCTCGTACCTACTTTGCATAGCTTCTTGTACCTATTTCACAAAGAGTTCCACATTAATTTACCATAGCGTTTCACATATATTGCCCGTAGCTTCTCATATCGGTTAAATAAAGCTTTTCAGAAATTGTCTCTCCACATCACTGAAAGGTGACACCAAGAATACTCTGCAAGATATAAGGGACAAAGCAGGCCGATACATGCAAACGTGATATTCACAGCTCTCTGACCATAACACCCGAGCACCCGACCGTTGTTTAGCTGGGGTGAATCATAGAAATGTGCTTTGCGCCGAAACCGACCACATTTAGGAGGCGTAAGATGCATACGAAATGCCTGTGGAAGATCCATGGGCAAAAGGGGAATCTGGCCACCAAGCTCTTCATGTGACCTAAGCCAACTGGCTTGTCAGAACAGTGTTGTTGATGGTGAATATTATTAAAAGCTGTTAACAAAAATGCGCTAACAACCCACATCCAAAATACCGATAATCAACTGGGGCAATCCAGCGGCGCTGCTCTAGCAGAGCTGCGCATGTACGCCCGCAAGCCTAGACAGCAACTATATCAGAGCTGCGTATGCACGCCTGCAAGCCTAGATGGCTGCTATAGCACAGCTGCGCATGTGCGCCCGCAAGCCTAGACAGCTGCTATAGCAGAGCTGCGCATATACGCCCGCAAGCCTAGACAGCTGCTATAGCAGAGCTGCGTGTGTACGTCCGCAAGCCTAGACAGCTGCTATAGCAGAGCTGCGTGCGTACGCCTGCAAGCCTAGACAGCTGCTATAGCAGAGCTGCGTGTGTACGTCTGCAAGCCTAGACAGCTGCTATAGCAGAGCTGCGTGTGTATGCCTACAAGCCTAGACAGCTGCTATAGCAGAGCTGCGTCTGTACGCCTGCAAGCCTAGACAGCTGCTATAGCAGAGCTGCGTGTGTATGCCTACAAGCCTAGACAGCTGCTATAGCAGAGCTGCGTCTGTACGCCTGCAAGCCTAGACAGCTGCTATAGCAGAGCTGCGTGTGCATGCCTACAAGCCTAGACAGCTGCTATAGCAGAGTTGTGTCTGTACGCCTGCAAGCCTAGACCCTCTGAGTTGCCGATGGATTTGTTCGTAGTCCATGGAGAACTTCTTAAGCAACGTGAAGACGTCTAACCACCACTCCACATACTATCTCTGCTTAGGATGTGTCTCGGCGGTTTCCAACAAAAACGAAATGAGGGATGTTTCTGGGGGTCAGTAGATATGAGCAAGAGCAGAGAGCTGCAACAAAGCATCGCACATTAACGGCTGCCTGGGCGCGAGGTCAAATGAGGCGCGGTGCAACAAGCAGGGCGGGTGCCACGATATAGTTCGACCCGAAAAAATCATCACGTGGCGCCGGTGGATTTTAGCGAACTAGAAACCACAGTCTGACGGAATGGACCACGGTGTCATTACTTATTAAGCATAGCTTTGCGCTGGTGTTCTACATCATCTTGTGAAGCCCCTCGCAGCGCATCGCTGCATAAATGTAGCGGGCCACGCACGGGATAACCTGAAGGCCAAGTTGCACACGTAAACGTAATTTCCTTCCCGTTTACGTGACTACTACAGCGAGTATTTCCGCTCTTGTGCAGACACACGGAACATGGTGGCAGGGCGGAACTCGATGCTCCAGAGGAGGTAACAGCGAAACAGCACACCCGGCAGCAAGACACGCTCGAACACTGCTGCGGCATGGCAGACGAGAATACACTTTCCTACCTGCAGTGGTACAACACCGCAGCGGCGCGCCTTTCGCTAGTGCAGCACACCAGCACACGAGCGCTGGCAGCCTCGCGTTAGGAAAACGGTCGCAAATTCAGATCCCAAGCATTCCTCGCGCGGCAGACCCCTCATCCCTGAACATTTTCCAGTGGTACATCCGGGTGCCAGTCATTACTACAGCGGTAGACCAGAGTGTCAGCACTCCTCCAACGGCGGCATTCATCGGCCACGGACACTCCTGCGTCAGCTGTTGGCTCAGATGCCGCACACTTCGCTCCTCCAGCGTCTGACTCGTGACGTTCCTCCTCCAGCGGCCTTCTTCGGCGCCAGACACCTCTCTTTCAACGGCTGACTCGTGACGCTCCTCCTCCAGCGGCATTCTTCTGCCCCGGACACTTCTCTTCCAGCGTCTGACTCGTGACAATCCCCTTTCAGTGCCCTTCTTCGGTGCCGGACACTCCTCTTTCAGTGGCAAGCCCATGTTCCGGGCACTTCCCTTCCAGTGGGAATCCCACGTTTCGGACTCTCATCCCGCAGCGGTGGGTTTGGCCCGGACATCCACCAGCGGGGGCTGACTCAGCGCAGCGGTGGGTCTGACCCGAACATCCACCTGCGGCGGCTGGCTCTGACCCGGACACTGCTCTCTCGGCGACGGGCTTCGTGGCTGACTTTATAACTTGCGGTCATTCGCAGCCTTGAACTGCCCGTAATCGCCAACATGAAATACGCTTATTAGTTCCAGAGTCATGCCATGGAGCAAATGTTAACAAAATAAAACATATGAGACAGGCAATGGCTGTAACAAACACTCCTCTCAGGCCTCAGCAGAGCTGTCCAAATGGAGGCTTACAAAGATACAATCTGCTGACTGATCTTTTCGACGGGATTAGGTGCCTTCGTCCAATCTGCTGGAAAATGCTTACCCGGAGGCGTGCATTTTTATGATCAAATGCCTATTATTGATACCAGACGATACGTGTTGCGTGAGACAGGTGACCAGCCATCAGGTCATGACAAAGGTAAGCAATCGCTTCCATCTATCTATCTCCATAGTCATTTCAAATCTCTGGTCAATTGAGGGAGTTCCTGGTCACCTTCGTGATATAAATACTCCTAGGAATCAACCATCAGTTAATTTAACCTCATCCAGGTAATGTTTCTTACATGTCCATGCCCAGCATATCAACCTGCAATAATTTTCCAATTCAGCATGCATCAGATGGAATCACATATTCACAGATGGAATCTAGATACAAAGGGCGCAGCAAGCCCGATGTGTTCACTTTGGCGGCCTTCCATACTTTTCACTAAGCAGCCCAGTCCACCAGCAGCGGCCTCCTGTAATGGACACCACAAAGGTCCTAGCCTCCGGATCCGCCTTGCAGTCAAAAATCCGCCGGCTCCGAAATCCATCAGCACAGTGTCTTACATAACGCCTTCGCGCCGGCTCAGCGCCGTTGCGCCGCCCGGTGCCTGGCTGACGGTGCCGCAGGTGACGGAGTGGCACCACCGGTGCCTGGCTGACGGTGCCGCAGGTGACGGAGTGGCACCACCGGTGCCTGGCTGACGGTGCCGCGGGTGACCGAGTGGCGCCGCCCGGTGCCTGGCTGATGGTGCCGCAGGTGACGGAGTGGCGCCGCCCGGTGCCTGGCTGACGGTACCGCAGGTGACGGAGTGGCGCCGCCCGGTGCCTGGCTGATGGTTCTGCAGGTGACGGAGTGGCGCCGCCCGGTGCCTGGCTGATGGTTCTGCAGGTGACGGAGTGGCGCCGCCCGGTGCCTGGCTGACGGTGCCGCAGGTGACGGAGTGGCGCCACCCGGTGCCTGGCTGATGGATCTGCAGGTGACGGAGTGGCGCCGCCCGGTGACTGGCTGACGGTGCCGCAGGTGACAGAATGGCACCGCTCGGTGCGCGGAGTTTTTCCGCTGCTCTGGCCTGGCCCAGCCGGCCGGTGTATCCGGTTCAGCTTGTGGCACAGGCGGCGGGTACCGAGACGAACTGCATGCCTGACCGGGCCAGCTGACCTTGCGTGTGGCCAGTCGACCCAGAGACACGGCGCGGTGACGGGGTCGAGGTCAGACGCAGCCTGACCCTTCCCCGCCCCCTGATCAGGCGTGGCGGGGGGGGGGGGGTTCCGACGGCTGAGCAGTTGACCTAGACACATGCGGGCTAATGCTTGGACGACTGGGGCCAATGTCAGCCACAGCCGAGTGGAAGTAAACAATGGTGGGGCGCAGGCGCCTGAGCTAGACGTGACCATTAGCCGAGAGTCACGGCTGGACGCACGACAATTGAAAGGATTCGATAATCGACTGGCAGCCAGCATCTGAGCCGAAATCCGTGCGGGGTCGAGTTGGACGGAAATTCTCTGCCACGATGAATAAAATTAGTCAGTTCCTACTGAAAGAAGCAATGTTCGGTGGGCAGGCTAGCACTGTGTCCAGCAAACCGCGCTCGGGAAACCGCTGAGCGCATGACTCCTTATTGGGGAGGGGGGGGGGGGGGGGGTCGCTGAGCCCACTGGTCCACCGGTTGGCTCCCTCAGCTCAAAGGTCTCCCAAGCTATCGGACATAGACCCCTCAATAGACGCCATCGGGAATCTGGACCGGTGAGTCACTGCGCTCCTCGGGAACAACGTTGAAATGAGCTGTTCTGCTCGAGCTGGGCTCCAGCCTCGACTTCTGTCTCGAATTCCGCTAACTCATGGCAAGACTGAGCAACCCAAGGCCGGCTGCCTGCCTCCGAGCTGGTCGGTCACGCCCGGCTTCCTTCGCGTTTGTGCTCGACCTCGCAGATTGGCAGACGCTGGCTACAAGCGGGGCGACTTTCTCTGGCATAGACCACGACTGCCGTTACCTAAAGCTGCCTGCCCTTGAGCATGGAAAGGTGATTCAGACTTCTGGAGCCTTCGATTGATTTTTGGGAACGCTTGGTGTCATGATTCGAACTTTGCAACAACAACAAAAAAAACACAAATGTAGAGAGAAGCATGGAATACAAGCTATTTCTGGTCGTTGGTAGCTACAAAGTTCCACGTCTTCGTAATCACGACATTTTTGAGCGCCCACACCGGTGGAGAAAGTAAAAGTGACTTGGAATTTTGTGTGTGCTGCGTTCCGTGTGAAAAGGAGATTTTCTGATGAGGCAGGTCAGATGTTAAAGGCCCATCAGCCGAAGCACTTGTTGACTGACTCGACAATAGCGTTCTCAAAAAGCGTAACAGTCAAGTGGTCAATGCTTTCAGTTTCCAATGGTGTCCCAGCTTCGGATCCCGCCAGTGTCATGGCCCTTATACGCTAACATAACCTCAGCAGTCGCTGCCGCTCTATAAAATGGTGCACGACTAAGTGAGTCAAGTTTCATTTCAAGCAGGCAGCGCTTCCACTTCGTGCATCTTTCAGAAGTTTCCAGATCATTTCTGGAGCTATTTCAAAGTTGGAAGCCGTGGTCACTTACACGCATCATACCCCTCATAGCGTTTCATAACCTTGCATGGTGAGGACATCTAGATTTTCTTTACTTAGATATGTGGTCCACGATGGAGACCTGGCAGCACTGTGGCTTTTGAGCTCTTGTCAGCCCATAAGTAAAAAAAGAAACGAATCGTAGTGGTGGAATCGCGACGTGTAGGGACCTGCCAGCTCCCGGTTAGTAGTCGGCATATGAGACTGTTAAATCTTAGTTATTTTGGTCGGCACTTGATTGTTTTGATTCATATCACTGCCTCTGGTTCATTAGATTTCGGCATCTATTTCCTGACCGAACGTATGATTTACCCGTCTCGGGATTCGTGAAACGTTCTCTGAACCCTAACCTATCAGTTCCAGCTTTAGTTTGCCCTTCCGAATGTTACAAGCGTCAAACGCTGTCGTTAAACCTAGGCCCCGCGAGGCCCAAGGGTTTCCGCAGAAGTTTTGATTAATTTTGTTCCAAAAATGTTCTGTGCGATCATGTAGCCCATCTGATTTGGTTCCCTGAACACTTTGAGTCCTTAGATTCGTCGCTGGTAAATTCCACCGGAACCTCTAAACAATCCGTGACGCAAATCCAGTTTTAGGTCACGGCTGCCAGCGCCCGTTTGCAGCTCCCGGACTTCTTTAACTTCTTGACACATCTCAGAGTGTTTGACCGTTGACTCTGTTGGAGACTAGCCTGCACCTAGCAATCGCCCAGGCTGATTGGTAATTGCTAATTGCTGATTGCAAGCACCCTGGGGTGTGCTGAGCTCACTGGGCGCGCCATGACTGCCACAAGATCATCTGTTTATCTTGAAAGCCTTGTGATGTGTTCAGGGTCTAATACACTCAGACGCCCAGAACTTTGTAAGACCCAGCAGATACGTCTATCGTGACTGGTTCTGTGTGCAGACATATATGCGTTCTAGAACCTGGAATGTACTGTGTTTCGAAGGGCCTTGAAAATGCGGTTGGAAAAATGGAGAAAAATCAAGAAATAAGATAAAAAGTTGCAGGATTTAAGTTCTTCAATACGTTCAATGACGACTATAATGGATATCCGCCAACAATAGCAATAACTTGCGGATGGTAATCAACAGCCCCGCCCACGCGCCTAAGTTAGCAGTCAATATCAACAAACTTATAGCACAAAAGTTACCTGGTTTAACGAAAACATTCCACCTTTCTTTGTATTTGTCACTTATGGTTACATCCGACGCGTACAATTTGATCAGCAATACCAATTTTCTCGAAATCCTCCCGAATAGCTCAGAATTTCTATTTAAAGTATCCGACATAACGGAGGAAATCTTATTTGGCTGCTCACCACTATGAAAGTGATACACTTCATTTGTCTTGCCTTTTCCAACGCATGCGTTCCTTAATGTTTGCAGCGCACTAATGTGCCAAATGTCTGTGTTACTCGGTGCCACTATGAGATTAACTAGACCTGAGATTTAACTAGAAAATGTATTTGAAATATGCTCCAAAGGTGGGGTACTCCCTTCAGAAGCCAAATAAAGCCATCACAGTTCACCACCAGTTTCATCACGCTGTTCCGCACTTATCTATTCAAGTGTTCTATGTAATCCTAAGAGCCGAATGGACTTTGTCGGGACCCTCGACCCGGTACCACGGTAACGACTTCAGCGAGTGCGCCGCAATCCTCTATCATGAGCTCCATTGACGCATTGGCCGGGAACAACCTCATGACCAAAATAATTATTTCCTCTACCATGGGACAATCCACCAAAAAACAAGGTGTAAGGCAGCATTTAGGAGGCGCGTAATATGGTGTCCAGCTTGAGACTCCCTTTTTATGTCAGAGACTACTTGATGTGAGAAAAAAGGCCTTCAGCTCTTGTTTTTCCGGCATTATGGGTTGAAAGCTCTTATGTTGGGTTTACCGGTTAAACGACGTTATATGTGGTACTTTAGGACTATTATATTGGCGGCACTCAATATTTCGAGCTGTGCTCATCCTCAAAAGTGAATTGGATCGTAGCGCACTCGCGTAAGTTCGTTACCATTGCGCGGGATTGAGGGCCCCGACAAGGCCCTTTCGGCTCTCTCAGTTGCATGAAACATCCGAATACATGAGCATGTTGCAAAATGACGAAATGAATTCAGTGCCTGACAAACTATTGAGCACTGCCTATCTAATCGTCATTTAGAGCTACGTCGTTTAACAAGCAACCCTGGTGTACTTAAGATCGTTAAATTAGCATAAGAGCTTTCAACTTATATCAAGGAGTTTCCAAATTCCGACACGAATAGCATAGATTTTATGAAGAGAGCGACTGGCACGGAATTGACCAATTCACAACCCTATTCCCCATGAAGTTAATTAATCCACAGCTCTATCCAAGCGACAAAGGTAGGTTCTTTCCTCTGCAGTGTCTGCTTTCTAACTCCTGCACCGCTCACCGCGGTGCCGTCACATTTTGTGACTTCACACAATTGATATAAATGCGTTTTGCAAAGCAAAATAAAACAAAAAAAGTAAAACAAAACAAAAAACCTGCAAAAACAAAAGTTTCCGCCAGGATCTAACTGCTAAGGTAAGCCGAGTGTTGCAATGCTCGTGTCATGGTGATCCAATGGCCACCAACACCTGCTCCCGCTGAATGATTTTGTAGTGCCTTCACACGAGCGACATTTTGTAGTGCCTTCACACGAGTGACGTGTCATGTGGTCAGAGTGCAGGCATTTAGGCATGCTTTACATTCCTAGCCCATTCCTCATTTCCGTTATTTTGCCTTTGATGCTAGTAACAAAAAAGTGTCTATATTCCAATTGTATCTTATAAATATGGAGACGGGAAACTTGACAGTTTCTCTGTCAAATACGCCCATAAGGCTTGCGTTCACTGTCTACATTACCTAGTAACGCTACCCTCTTTTCGCTCACACAGTTTGATTTCACTGCCTCTTTTATGCTACTCAGGGTTAAATTGTGATGAGACACGGGATGTCATTATCAACAAGAAGATGCTGAGGAGGCTCTTGCCGCCTGCAGCGCTCTAGGGCAGCTTGGCGACATTTGCCCTCAGTCTTAGCTTGATCTTTAGGGCACCTTGGCGACATTTCCCCTCAGTCTTAGCTTGACCTTCTGTTCTCCTGCTGCCCGTAAAATGCTGCAGTGCAGCGAAAAGAAAAAGAACAGTTATAGCGAGCCTCTATGTAGCGGAGCAAAGGATTTCCGCCCCACGACAGAGCTGCCCACAGCGGACAAAGCACTCACGGAGTGCAGCGTTCTCAAGGCTCCGGACCGCCACGGAGCGTAGCTGTAAAAGCGTTGGGTGCGGAGTGGAAAGTACCTGCATGGCGACACAAGTCGCTGCACACGACTGATTTCCAGGCGCAGCTATGACTGCTAGGGTACATGTCTTCCAGAATTACGTGCAGAGAGCACAATTTCGGAGACATATCCGAGCATGACCCCCAGCTACGACAGACTGTTTTGCATGCTAATAGCTCACGGTACCATTGTGTAATGTGCAGAAGACAAAGGTCGCCCATGCCATGTGCACCCACCCACCAGCCTCCATCCCGCCGCCGTTGGTCTCACCAGGTACCACTGTTCCTTGAAGAGTGGGTCAGACCAGAAGGACTGGGTGCTGGGCAGGGGCGGGCTCTCGCCACCCAGCTCCGACCCAAAGCCCGGCCCGAACGAGAACGGCACCGAGAAGCCCTGGAAGATGCTGGGGAAGAAGCCGCGGCCATCGCGCTTCTTCCGCTTCTTGTAATATTGCTGGTCGGCCCAGACAATCTGGAAAGCGGGGGCACGGTGGAATGTTACACACTGGCCGTGGCAGCTGTGAGCGGCCAGACGGCGGAGCGCCTGAGCTACAGCGCAGCTTGAACAATCGCTGGCGGGCCGACATATCAGTCACCAACTTATTCTACGAAAATTCAGAATGCGTGGTATACAGCAGCCATACAGAGCCCGAGACAAGCTGGTACCTCAGTCATCACTATGTTGTCCCTATTGGATAAACTATAATCGATCACATCTCCAATGAACCGGCTCATCATTAAGCTTACGGACTTTGCAATGCCTCACAACGTTGCTCGCACAAGTGGTACTTACGTCTGGCGAATTCCTGAGTTTCCTAACGTGATGATGAGAATGATCAGTTGAACGCTTATGAACTCCATGACATTCTAGGAGGTAATGATCTGTTAAATCTCCTATCTGGAAACAGATGGCATACATTTGTTTGAAAATTCATAAGGGTACACTTTGAGCACATGCCTGCAAACCCCTGCCAATATCATTCCGATCGCGGTAGGTCCTTATGCTCCCAACTCGCGATGCTCTGTTTTCAATGGCGTTACGAACACGGCTTTCCGTGCTGAAGAAAGCCCGCCGACGAGTTATTAACCATCACAACAGCACTGACGGCCTTGACCCCGGGCAGGCGGCGTCCAGTCGTGAGGTAACGGGTGCTTGGGGCCGTGGGCCACTCCCCACGGCTTGGAACACACGAAACACCCCGCAGCGGTGCACCAACGGCGACGCCATTCAACGCGCCATCGGACTCGTTTTCAGCGAAGCGTTTCAGACGGCGGGGTTCTGTGCGACACAGTCCGCCGGCTCAGGGCGGCGGGCTTTGTTCTGTTCAGCAGCGTCGCCAATTGTCCCACCATCAAAGAAACTCCGCCTGCAAAACGAGTCGCGCAACAGAACAATGGGTCGGTGCCAGGCGGTCCGACGCCCGCGGGGTGCCGACATTGCGCCCTCTGGACCCCCGGCCATGGCTGACCGCGCCTCCAAAGGGTGGCCGACTCTGCAGCCCTGGACCCCCCCCCCCCCGGCCATGGCTGACCGCGCCTCCAAAGGGTGGCCGACTCTACAGCCCTCTGAACCCCCTCCCCGGCTGGCCACCGCTCCGGGGGTGGCCGACTCCGCAGCCCTCTGAACCCCCCGGCCACGGCTGACCACGTCTCCGAGGGGTGACCGACTCCGCAGCCCTCTGACCCCCCGGCCACGGCTGACCACGTCTCCGAGGGTGGCCGACTCCGCAGCCCTCTGGACCCCCCGGCCACGGCTGACCACGTCTCCGAGGGGTGGCCGACTCCGCAGCCCTCTGGACCCCCCGGCCACGGCTGACCACGTCTCCGAGGGGTGGCCGACTCCGCAGCCCTCTGGAGCGCGGCCGCACTCTGGTGACGTCACTCACCGAGTCGATGACTGAGCAGTGATGCTGTTGCGCGGCCCACTCGGCCTTGGCTCGGCCACCCGGCACCACCACGGCGAAATGGTTGGTGTACTCGAACTGCGGGCGCTTGGCGGCGGCGGCGGCGGCGGCGGCGCTTAATGAGACGACCGCCCCTAGGATCAGCCTCCAGCCGGACGCCATCGAAACTGAGGGCAGAACGGACGGGTGACGGTAAACTCTGGGTGACCCCAGGAACAGTCCAGGCCGGCCGTCATCGGTGCTGAAGGGACAGTAATCCCCAGTCTAACCTCAGGATCATCTCCCAGCCGAACGCCGTAGATACTGGAGACAAAGCGGCGCTTGTTTGACAAGAGGTCTCACGTGATCCCTGGATCCGTCCCAGCCTGCCGGCAATGGGATGGCGGGCAAAGACGCCAGGGCATATGTTTGACTCCCCCCTTGAATATGTGGATAGGTTTGCCTCCCCCTTCATCAAATATGTGGCTAAGCTTGAATTACATGCTATCTGGAAGTTAGCAAATTGTAGCAGAAAGAGGCGTTATGTGACCCCAGGCTCTACAGCCGCTTTGGGACAGGGAGCGGAGGTTTATTACGGCGAGAGTGCGGACAGTCCTCGAGAGCCGTCCTCCTGTCATTAGGCTTGGGCCAGGCGAATGCCGGGAGATTAGTTGGCTTTTCGGGAGCCAAGGCCGCACGGCCATTGAGCAAGCATGCGAAAGCTGCTATGGTACGCTCCGTGGCTAATCGGTCCCATGCATGATGCCGCCGCCACCCCACGTCTAGAGCCCGCGGAGCGGCGCCGGATCGACGCCCGCCTGCGAGGACAGCGCCCTGATCAGCTACCGCCGCTATCGCCCGCTGGTCCGGCGATGCCGCCCCGCGCGGGAGAGACCCGGCGCCGCCATCTCCGGCGCGCTGCGGTCGGCTGCCGTCAACACGGCAACCTCCGTGCAAGATGCAAGGGCACGTACATTCACCCGCCGTTGGCACTGGTGATTTGTGCGAAGACGGACTGTGACTCAGCGATAGCGCTTTTTTTAACCGGACCTGTCTCGCCTAACCTGTTCTGCTTTATCTGAGATGACTTCATGTGTGCTGCGATGTTGCATCTGCAGGACCATGGAACTTCTATATACATTAACTAACATGTCAGGCGTATAATCTTAGTTCGTTTGCGACATGAATCCTACGCCGCCACTCCAGTACTATGATAGAAAGCTGTCCGTCCATAGGCCATGCTGAATAGAAAATCCCCCCAAAATTGGCATCGAGCGAGCGAGAGCAAAAAATAGCGAGGGAGCGAGGGCAAAGAGGGGGGGGGAGAGAGAGAGAGAGAGAGAGAGAGAGAGAGAGAGAGAGCGAGAGAGAGAGAGAGAGAGAGAGAGAGAGAGAGAGAGAGAGAGAGAGAGAGAGAGAGAGAGAGAGAGAGAGAGAGAGAGAGAGAGAGAGAGAGAGAGAGAGAGAGAGAGAGAGAGAGAGAGAGAGAGAGAGAGAGAGAAGTTGAATGAGATGCTACTGCCTCCTAACTATATCCCCGACAATATTTTTGGCCGAGCAATAATCCTCTCTAACTTGTACCAGAGCCTGAACTCATTTACTGACATGCTTACCCACAGACACATAGCTCAATGTGCCATAACGAAACAGGCCGGTGCAGGCATCACGTTGGCAGAGACCAAACCACCCGCTTACACTCGTCGTACTCCACACATATGTCAACGCCGCAACCTTCATTTGGACAGCTGCTCAATTTGAACACATTCTGTTGCCGTGACAGTCGTGCAAAAATTGGAGGCTTTCTGGTGATTCATAGAAGTTGTAGAAAGGAAACCCTTTCTTACTTGAAATTCATCTCGAGTGATTGCACGAAGATTGGCAATCGGTGTCGTATTTCGAGCGTGCAGGGCGACAGCGGCTCTCACGGACCAGCGCTGCGAAATACATCTCCATCGTTGATTACAGTCAATTTTGTCCACAAGATAGGGTCAAACTAGGGTCAAGCTACAGCCAAATCAGTGCGTACCAACACCAGGTTGAAGTCAAACAGACACTCGAGAAGGCATATATGCGGATGCCAGCTGACTGACAAAAGTTTCGAAACCTCTGGGCATAAAAAATCCGTTCTGCAGCGACTACTACGGACTACTACTACTACTACTACGACTACGGGTGTCTACGAACTACAGCACGAGTTTCTACGACCTACACCACGAGTTTCTATGACCTACAGCACGAGTTTCTACGAGCTACAGCACGGGCGTCTACGAGCTACAGCACGGGTGTTTACGAGCTACAACACGGGTGTCTACGCACGACATGCACGGATATCTACGCACAGTACTCGGGTGTCTACGCATGACATGCTCGGGTGTTTACGCAAGACACGCACGTGCTGCATGACTGCATTACATTCAAGAGCGCGGGGGCATAATGACAAGTCTTCATTATGACTCGTTATTGTTGTAAACTTGTTCTTTTCATTAGTCGTTCTATGGCGGACCAATCGTACATGAATGCAGCGCAAGAAAAACAGCGAACTGCGATTAGAGCAAACTGTGATTTCAGGCCGCAGCCATGGCCATTTTCTACTGCATAATTAACTGCTTGCCTAGGTTCACATGCACCTACTTGATATTCCAGGAAAGATATGAGGAATTGTGATGGACATCTTGAGCTGAGGTTTATTTCTAAGCGAGTGGCGATCTTGCATCATTCAGCATAGTTGTAATATGAATGAACAATGCGGATGTTTGCTGATGTGTGCCAATTCTCGGTTGCACCTATTTTATTGTTATAGGACGTATGCTAACGTACATCACGATAGCTTGGGCCTGAGGCAAAAAGATAAGGTTGGGAGCATATGCGTCCTTTTAAAGAGACTTTTCTTGCGCGGCCAGAAAGGATTTGTTCTGTCTTTTCGCCGAGACTTTTTCAGAATTGGCGAAATATCACGTAGAGTCCAGAGCATTTGGAACCGGGAAAATTCTGGTCAGTACCTACCTCTGGAATGTTCAACATACTACGAAACAGACGGCGCGCCGTTCGCGGACCACAGTATGTTGCCACATGGCTGGCCGTGCCCTGCCACACGACCGCACGTGCTCTAGGGTAACAACACGTGCAGTGGACCCCGAGACGCCCTACAACCAGCGTGCTTGGTAATCGGAATGGTAGCATTCCACGTTGCACCGTTCACGTTTCATGTTGGCATTATAACCCATGGACATAGCCAGGGGCGGCAATGTACGGTCGTTAGCCCCTCTCTCAGGAGTCCGAGCCCGTCGAACCATCCAGAAACCTTGCTGGTCTGAACTGGGACCCTTGTTCGAGCCCGTCGAACCATCCAGAAACCTTGCTGGTCTGAACTGGGACCCTTGTATAAGAAGTGAGTCAACAAGAAAAGTGGGGCTGGCGGCCTTAGGCGAAGCCATGAGGCTCCCTCATGTTGACTGGCACCTCTGGCAATCTTTGGCCGTCTTTCCTTGGTGAATTAAGTAGCCACGTCCATCATGCCCGGCATGCCGCCACATGCCCGTCACGGTCTCGCCGCCGTGGGCACAGCGGTGCAGTATGCATGTTGCAGGCATGCAGGAAGGGCGAAAGTCGCCTAGTTTGCTTTAGCTCCGAACCCGTCGTCTTGGACCCACAGCGACTAGCTGCATATGGGGGTCTATACATCAGTCAGGCACCGCACGCAAACAACAGCTGTGATCATGGAAAACGCCAGCTGTGAAGGAGGCGGAGTAGGGCGTCAACGTCTGATATGTTCGCAATATTGACAGGCGCTGGAGGAAAATGCATGAAGGACATATGAGGAAGACATAAATGGCGACATTTAAGTGACCAGATGCCAATTGGGGCCTGGCACCAAAGTGGGTGATATTATCTCGGCTTCAACGCCAGCGGGGTTGCAGCGGAGCACATATACCGCTGTCTGCCGTCCCATCATTAATCAAGGGAGCGAAACTCTCGTTGTGCACCGAGCATGCTGAGCAAGTGCTGACGCCTTGCGTTGTTCGCACCTCCCGGCTTACCTGCCCGGCACGGCGCTGATATCAGCGCCCTCAGACCAGCTCTCCAGTGGACAGCCCTCAGTAGGAACACCATGATAATTGGGCGAGGGAAATGATTTATGCACGCCTTGCGGAGTACGCCACCCTCCTTCCACCTTCCACGTCCATGGAACCCCACCCTTCCTGCCATCCACATTCACTACTCTACTCTAATAATTTTAAATGTCCATGATTATTACCTGTACTGCCCCGACGGTTGCACAGCCGGCTACACTGACTCGTCCTCTTCTTTATCACTTGTACTTCCCAGACGGCTGCGCCGCCGGCTTCACAGACACATCCACCCCTTCACTACCTGCAATCCCCAGACGGTCGTATAGCCGGCTACACTGATTCGTGACTGATACGTGACACTGAATCGTGATACACTACCCTTATTACTAGTACTCCCCAGACGACTGCGCAGCCGGCGTATACTGATCCGTCCTCCCCCTCATCACCAGCCGCTACACAGATTCATCCTCCCTCCGCGGTCACTGTCGTCTTCCCGCGCGCGCCGCTCTGTCCGAACTTGGCGAGGTCCCCCACGGCGGCCACCCATCTGGGCTCACCTTGCTTGTCCTTGACACGGGCCGTTAGTACCCACGGTCGCCGATTCCGGTTCTAAGACGATTCAGGTCGCGGGTTTACAGGATGGCCAATACCGCGAACAAATAAAACTGCGAAATTCCCGGAGCCGTGGCTCGGGAATTCCGGTCGGACGACAGCTCGGTGGAGGAGCGGCCACGTAACACCACGTACCTGCAGTGACTCTGCATTGCTAACCAAGCCAACAACTTTCGGAAACGGATGCGCATGTCGGTGCATGCCAAGATTTGTGAAAATTACATAAACCACGACCAATTACACAAACCACTGGTCACCAAGTACTGGCTACTGGAGCAATCTGGTGGGAGGTGACGACCAAAGGACGAGCGGCTGATGACGATGGCAATACCAGATTCATCCGAGCAGCTGCCAGACAACAACGTGACGTTAATCGAACATTGATTGTTTTGGCTGATGGTGACGTACCGAACAGCCAGTAACGTGTGGAGGACACAAGTTTGTCAATGTCTGACGTCATCCTTAATTACACGGTACGGGCATTTGATTGCCGTGTGTCGGAATGA